GCGAGCATATCCATGGATATGCATGGCAGCAAAGTGGCGCCCCTCCCCCCCCTTTTCCCCCCCCCCCCCCCCTTTTCGCCTTTTGCCGGCTCCCTTATTCCGCCGCATGCGCACATGCCGGCCGCCACTTCTGGCCTCTCCTGCCCGGCTCGGCTGTCCTGCTAACCCCACCGACATGGTCTTTCGTTCCGGCGAACGACCCCCAGAACGTGCTATCGTCTGTATACGGAGAATGCCTATCGCCATGAGATGCTCGAGAGCACGGTGCCGGAAATCCAACGGACCAACCTCAGCAATGCGGTCCTCCTGTTGAAGTCTCTCGGCGTGCGCGACCTGTTGGAGTTCGACTTCCTGGACCCCCCGCCCCAGGCCAACATCCTCAGCTCCATGTACCAACTGTGGACCCTGGGTGCGCTGGACAACCTCGGCGAGCTGACCCCCGTTGGCCGGGCGATGTCGGGCTTCCCATTGGACCCGACTCTCAGCAAGATGCTGATCACTTCCAATGAGCTGGCTTGCACCACGGAGATCGCCACCGTGGTGTCCATGCTGTCGGTTCCTCCTGTGCTGATGCGCCCGCGCGGGCGCGAGGAAGAGGCTGACACCGCGCACGAGCGCTTCAGCGTCCCGGAGTCCGACCATCTGACCCTGCTCTATGTCTTCCGGCTGTACGAGTCGAACCGCTTCTCGGACGCCTGGTGCGACAAGAACTTCATCAATCCCCGGTCCATGCGTAATGCGCGCGAAGTGCGCGACCAGCTGTTGGACCTCATGCGCAAGGCCCGGATGGACATGCGCTCGTGTGGCAACGACTTTGACCTGGTCCGGTGCGTGACCGTCCCTGCTGAGGAGCTCCCCGCATCGGCGCGGGTGCCCCCTCCCCCTCTTCCTGATCCTGTTCATTCTCCTTCCTTCCTGTTGCCCCATGTTCCGTCTCTTCCCGTGGCCATGCTTTATTGACGTGCCGTTGGTGTCGCCCGATTGCTGCTGCTGCTGTTGTTGTTGCTGCTCCTCCTCCTCCCCCCTGCCCCGTGTCCTCCACAGCAAGGCCATCTGTTCGGCGTACTTCTACCACGCGGCCAAGATGAAGAGCGTCGAGGAGTATGTAAACATGCGTACTGGCAAGCCGTGTCGTCTCGAGCGCTCGAGCGGCATCTTCCGCCTCGGCTCGCCGCCCGACTACATCGTGTACCACGAGCTGGTCATGACCTCGCGCGAGTACATGCGCGGTGTGACCGTGGTCGAGCCTTCTTGGTTGGCCACCCTTGGACCGATGTTCTTCAAGGTGGTCACCATGGAAAACCGTCTCGTACGTGCCGATGGTGGGGGACTCGTGCTTGGCATTCGGTTGGCCCTCCTTCCCCTTTGTCTGTTCCTGCCATTCCCGCTTGCTGCGATTGCTGACCCAGCTCGGCGTCTTTGCTGCCCTCGCCGATCGCCATCGGCAACACAGCGATCAAACTATCGTGACCATCTGGAGGCCGAGTCCATGGAGCGCGAGTTGGAGCGCGCGCGCGAGGCTGCCCGCATCCGCCAGGAGGCCGAGCAGGAACGCCGTCGTCGGCAGATGGCCAACACCGATGTGGTGACTGTCGGCCGCCGGGCGCCAGATGCCGCCGGGCCGCGCCAGACCACCTCCCTGGCCGGGAACTTGGCATCTCGCTTGGCCGTTCGGGCGGCTCTCAGTGGCAAGACCTCCAATGCTCCGGCCGGCTCCGCATCGGCGGGCCCCGCATCGGGCGTGTCCACCGGATCGGCCGCGGTATCAACCGCCGGGGCCCGCCGGACGCTGCCCCCGCCGCCAAAGCCCCGTCGTCGCATGGGCATCTAGGCCATTCATCCCCGGCTGCTTGATCCCCGTGTCCGCCATTCTGCCATAGAGACACACTCCTTGATTGCGGCTTCACTCTCCCCCTTTTTGCTTGCTTTTCTCTTTTTTTTTTGCCGCCTGCCCCTCTCTCCCTCTCTTGCTCATGGGGGTTGCACGGCCGATGTGCCGCCCCTGTGCGCAGCCAGACGGGGCTGTCCACCAGGACAGGAGACAAAATGAAGAGTGGTATATTCAATCAAGGACAGGGAGGGTAGCACGCGTCTAACTGCATCGAGACAGGGAGGGTCTCGTCGTGGCCAGTGCTCGTGGTGGAGGGGGGGGCGGGGGTGTTGGCGCGCCGGCGGCGACCGTGTGGCACCCGTTTCGCCTTCTTCGTGTGGCGATACTAAGGATGAGCCTGGGCCTGGGCTTGAGCCTGGGCCTGGGCCTGAGCTTGCTGATGCTGCTGCTGGAAGGAGGCATAGCGAGCCGAGAGCTCGCCAGCCACCGTGCGCGGCATTCCCGGGAACATCGCATCAATCACCTCGTCCAGCAGGGAGTACACCATGTGGCGGTTGATCAGCTCAATCTGGAAGGCGTCGAAGAGCAGCTGTGCGCCCTGAAGCGAGGCATTCTCGCCAACCAGCGTGGCAAACATGTCTGCAGGCGCGTTGGACAGCCGGAGAGATGGGGAGATGGTGAGATGATGCCGGCGGGCCATGTGGGGAGCCGAATGGCGGGGGAATCTGATGGGGCCGGGAGCGGGCAGCGAGTCGAGAGGGGAAAGCACGCACGAGGGAACAGTTGATGCAGGTGGTGCTGAGTGGTCAGCTTGGTCTCGGAGCGCTGCTCCGGCGTTCGGATGTTGGGCTTGTCGTTGTACACATCATTCGGCCAGAAGGCATTCATGAAGGTGTCCATGTACCAGAGGATCTGATCGGGCAGGACCATCCAGCGGATATTCTCCGTGAGTTTGCTACCAGCAGGGGGGGGGGGGGTGTTAGTGGGACAGGCACGCAGGCAGTGGCGAAGGCAGCGAGTGGCACGGGGAAGGGGGGGGGGCAGCAGTCAACAGGCAAAAACACACCGCTCGATGGCACCACCGAAGATTTGCTGCAGGAAGATGAGCAAGGCGCCGCGCTTGAGCGACTGCGCGCGGCTGACCATCGGGAACAACACCGTCAGCAGGCTGAACAGCGGCTGCATCAGAGGCGACCCGCCGAAAGACCCGGCAGCCTGGGCAGCAGCTGGCCCGGCGGCCGCGGCCGCGGCCGCCACCGCCGAAGCCGGGGGTACCACAGCCGGCAGCGGTGGCAGCTCGAAGGGCAGCCCCTGGGGATCGAGTGTCGGGGACTCGGTGATGGAAAAGGCGGCCCCGGGCCCGGTGCCAGGGACGCCGGTGCCGGGGGCGGCAGCGGCGGCCCCGGTGGGAGCCGACGAGGCCGTGGCCGCTTGAGCCGGCGGCGAGCCTGCACCCAGGCCCAGGGTGGCCGCCTCGGATCCCAAAGCGCTCGCCGGCTGGGGACCCGGGCGCGACATGGTCGGGGCGGCTGGGCTCGTGGATGGCGAAGTGGAGTTAAACAGCAGAGACCCGATATTTTGCAGGAAGGTCTTGTTGTTGGTTCGCGAGGCGTCAATGTCGGCCACCGGTCCGACCGCCGGCGAGGGAGCCGGTGCCGGGACCGATGGGGCCGGGCCCACGGCCGGACCGGCCGCCGGGGCCTTGGCCGAAGTGCCGGCCCCGGCGGCCACACTCGGGCGCGAGTGCGACCGACTGCGAGCGGGAGAAGAGCCACCTGCAGATCCATTGGCGGCGGCTTGGGGCTGCTCGATCAGGCTGATGAAGCGCAGCAGCGAGGGGTTCTTGTGGAGCTCCGGATGCCGGAGAGCCGCATTCAGGTATTCCTCCAAGGTGACACGCCGATTGGCCACGATGGCTGCCTCATTGCGGAAGGCCAGCAGGCTGAGGCGCTTGCTGGGGAAGGGGAGGCTGGCGGCCGCATGCGAGGATGCCGCCTGCAGGCGCGCATGGAGCAGCTCGAATTCGGTGAACCGCCGATGAATGAGCCACCCGCATTCCGGGTTCGACCGGCCCACCATGATGGCATAGCAGGTGTACCCCCGACGGGCCGGGGCGAAGAGGCCGCCGGAGTCCGGCGTGCCATGGGGCTGGCCGGCCGAGGTGCTGGACCCGGCCCCCGAGGCCCCTGGGCCGCCGTCATTCCCGGAGAAGACCACCGGCGGCGAGGCCATGGTCAAGACGTCGACAATTCGCACGGTCCACACACCCGGCAGCATGTTATGATAGTAGCTCAACTTGGACAGGTACACCGCGCACTTCTCGTGGATCATGTTCTTGGCATGCATCAGCACGGCCCGGCTTTCGGCCACCGTGGCCCCGGCGCCGGCCACGGCCGCGGCGGCCGCCGCCGCCGCCGACGACACCGGCGCCCCGGACTCCTGGGACCGATCAAGCATGGCAAGGGCCGAGTCCAGGACGGTCAACTTGAGCCGGGCGTCACCGAGCTCGGCATCCAGTTGGCCCACCTGCGACAGGAGGTTTCGCAGGAAGGTCGGCGAGTTGATGTCATTCTCGTCATCCTCCTCGTCGGCATCCTCCTCCTCCTCCTCCTCGTCGTATTCCTCCGCTTCGGAGTTGCTGGCATGGACATGGCAGAATCCATCATCGTCGCCGCTGTCCCGGGCAACGGCCTTGGTGGCGCCGGCATGCGGGGGCACCTCGGGACCCTGGGAGGAGAACGACGCGTCGTCATCCTCCAACAGCAGAGCCCCATCGGCCGAGGCCAGCTGCAAGTCGGCCAGCGCCGGATCCACGGCATTTGGATCCGGCCCATTGAAGGAGGCACTACGAGTGGCCGGCCGGCCGGGGGTGCGGGACCGCCGCATGCGCGCCGGGCTGAACATATCCGTGGCCACACGGGCCCCATACCGCGCGGTGCCAGGGCCGGCGGCCGCAGTGGCTCCGGCAGTTGACCGGTGCGAATCGGTCACCACAGCCCCGGAGGCCGAGGCAGTGGCCGCCTCGCGTAGACACGACTCCAGCAGGGAGATGACCTGCGTCAGGAAGACCGAATCCTCCTCGGGCCGGATGGCCGAGGGAAGATCGCCAGCCGGCTCCGCAAGCAGCGTTGCCATGGCGTCGGTCGAGGAGCCGGTCCCGGCGCCGGAGCCCCCGAGCAGGGCCGGCGGCGTGTCCACCGGGGCACTGGCCACCAAGGCCGTGGGCGAGGAAGCCAGGGGGTCGGCCGGGGCGCTGGCCGACAGGTCGGCCAGATTGCTGGAACTCATGGACGTGGTCAGCGAACTGAGGATGGCCGTCAGAGGACCGGTGGCCGAAGACCCGGACCCCGGGCCGAGGGAGCCCCCGGCTGTCGAGGAGACTGACCGCCGGTGGGCGGTATTCGCGGCCGCAGCCGAGGCCGTCGCCGCGGCCGAGGGCGGGATGGCCACAGGCGTGGAGGAGATGTACCCGCTCCGGGGGTGAATGGTGACATTGGGCGGCAGGGGCGGGGCCCCGGCCGAGCCGCTGGCCGAGCCACCCCCGGCCCCGATGCCGGTCGACGGCACGGCCGGCGTGAACTGGTCCGGCGAGGAGAAAAGCGAAGTCAGCTTCGCCGAGAAGGAGGTCGACCGGCGAAGAGCCGCCGTCGAGACGGCCGGCCCGCCGCCATTCGAGGCCGAGGATGACCGCTGGTGCGAGGTCTGGCCAGAGGGGGATCGCGAGAGCGAATCCACCGCCGGGTCGGACCAGTCCGGCGGGACCAAAGCCCCCGAGGTGGGGGTGGCCCCATTGCTGCCGGAGTAGTGCGACTCGGTGGCGGAGAAGGCCACCGTCAAGTCGGACATCGAGCCGGCCTGGCTCCCCTGGAACAGATCGTCCGAGGTGACAGCCGACTTCAGCGGCGAGGTGATGGATCCGAGAGGCCCGGCGCCCGGGCTGCCGGCTTGCGAGGGCAGGCGCGCCTGGGCAGCCGGCCCCGGGGCACTGTCCACCGCCACGGAGATGGCCGGCAGGGAGGCCGGCGGCGATCCGGCACCCGAGTCCGAGGTCTCGGATGCCTTCGGCTCTTCCGGGTCACCGGGGCTCGGGCCCGGGTCCTCCGCCTGGGGTGCCTCCTGCGAAAGGTCCGCAAGGGTGGCATGGCCACTTGCCTCGGCCGGGATCGAGGGCGACAGGGGGAAGCCGGAAGTTTTGCGGAAGCCCGGGGGCGAGTCGGCGGCCACCTCGGGCGATGGGGGCCGAGCGTCGGCCGCCGGCGCAAGGGGCGACGAGGTGACGGCCACCGGCGCGGGCGACACCGTCAGCGGGGTGGCCGTCGTCGGAGTCGGTGGAAGCACCGTCGTCATGGGAAGGACGGCAGGGGCCGCCAGCCCGAGAGCCAATGGGAGGACATCCGGCGACACGGACACCGATCCACGGGGGAGGGTCCCGGAGTCGAAGCCGGCAAAGGCCGGCGGCAGCCCGCCCCCGGCGGCGATGCCCCCGAGCGGGAACTCCTGATCCAACTGGTCGTCAAGCGCCAATTGGTAAAAGTAGTGCGAGGCCTCGAATTCGCTCTGGAAGCGAGCCAGCATCTGCAAGACACAGGAGTAGATCTGCAGAAGGAGCTGCTCGGCGCCGGAGGGCGCCTCATCGACCGAGGGCCCGGCGCCCTCGGCTCCAGGGCCGGCCGACAGGCCGACACCGGGTGACTCGGTGGCCGAGCCCGCGACCGGCAGACCATCGGGGGCCGAGCCGACGCGCGACGCCCCGGCCGACAGGGCCTCCTGATGCTGGTCGATGAAGGCATCGATGAGGATCTGCAACCAGGAGTTGCCGAGATCCACGCGCTCCGGCGAGGCCGCTTGCAGATGGCGAGAAATGATGGGGAGCAGCTCGCGCGTGGCCAGATCATCGGTCTGCGGCTGGCCGACGGTGCGAGAGGCCCGGCGCTGGGCATGCGCACGCGCCAGCGCATCCACCAGGCTCGACAGAGAGTAGTGCCCTTGGGACTCGAGGAAGGCCATGAAGTAGAATCGCCCAACCGGCGAATCAAACAGGCGATAGATGGACCAGTCGGCTGGTGACCCGGCTGGCGAAGCATCCGGCCGGCTGCCCGATGCCCCGGCCGATGGGAGCTCGGTCACCAGGGACCCGCCCTCCGGCAGGGGGGACTCATTCAGTCGGCGGACCAGCTGCTCGCGCACCCGGGCAAAAGAGTCGATATACGACACGCCGGTCACCTCGTTCAGGCGCTTCTCCACGCTCTTCAGCAGGAATTGCAATTGCCGGGCATAGCGCGACCCCGAGCGTTGGTGGTCATTCTGCTGCTCGCGCAGCCGGGCGATGATCATTTGCCGATAGGCGCGAAGGTCCAAGATGGTGGTGGAGGTTTTGATCTTCTGGAGGAAGGACTCGAAGGATTGCGGGGTGCTGTTCGGGCCGCCGGTGCCCCCGCCGCCGAGGGCTCCGCCGGCGCCCCCCGGGCCAAGAGCCCCACCGGCCCCGGCTCCGCCCTGCTGGATCAGCGCCTCGGGGCTCATGTTCTTGATGAGCTTGTTGGCCGACTCATACTGGTTCAGGAACCGCAAAGCCTGGTACCCCAGGTGTTGGTTGATGTAATCCGGATCCGACAGCAGGTTGACCACTGGCAGAAGGGCAATATTGGCCAGCAACTCCCGAGCAAAGAGCATGAGCCCGTGCGACACCTCCAGGCCCAGGCGCGAGTCCGACAGGATGTGCTGCGTCATGATGCGCAAGTATTCCAGCTCATAGGCCACGCCCGGGTGTCCGGGATCGGCTTTCGACGGCCACCGCTCGACCGGCGTGGCCACCGACAGGCTATGGTGGAGGTATCCCCGAAGGGCGGGGTGGATCTGTGGCAAGGGGTCAGCAAGTTGCAATCGTCGAGGTGGGAAGGCCAAGTGGCCGAAGGCCAAAGCACCGAGCAGCAAGCAAGATGCACGTACGCCGCCGGCGGAGGCAAACTTCTCCAGCACCCGCCGCGCAAGGAGCGGGTTCTCCGAAAGATCGGTCGACTGGTTGGCATGGTGCCGGCGGACCAACTCAGACGCCTCCTGGAACCGAGCCAGCTGCATCGTCAGGATGGGAACTGGATTCGGAGAGAGAGAGAGAGAGAGCGCGCGCGCGATGACCACAGTGGTGTTTCCGGCGGAGGGGGGGAGGGGGTGTTATAAATTGGGCATGGCAAGGGAGGCGAAGGAGATAGGAGCAGCAGAGGGACGCACTGGTCCGCTTGATGATCAGGTCCACGATGTCGACGCGGCTCCCATGCGACCAGAGGGAATCCAGCAGCGTGTGCAAAATACACCGGACCTACGGGCAAGGCGGCGGCGTGGGCCATGGTTAGGACACCGTGCGGAGGATGGGCCGAGCCGAAACCCCGAGAGCCAAGTCGGAAGGAGCAAAAGGAGCGGCGCACCTTGAGTGGGATCACCTGGTCCGTGCTGATGTACTGGTACCAGGACTGGACGAAGTCCCGAATGAGGTTGTTGAGAGTCCGTTGAACCTTTGGAGCCAGGAGGCCCTGGATGTCATCGGGAGAGGGGGTCCGATCGGAGGCCACGGAGAAAGGCATGCTATAACCAGAGAGAGAGAGAGAGAGAGTGGGAGAGGGAGGGGAGCACAGCAAGAGCCAGGGATCCGACGCCAGGGTTAATACAGCTGCATGTGCTGGAAGGTCAGGGAGGAGGGGAGGGGGCCAGCAAGCACGAGCATACCTATTTAGCATGGTATCGAGGTTGCTGGTCTCACGCTCGCGGAAGGGCAAGATCTACATTTGGATGTCAGATGGGGGGGGGGGGGGCAAAGGGAAGCGAGAAAGAAGGCAAGAAGAAAGCCACCGAGGGCCAAAGAAAAAGAAACCAGCCAACTTTGGCACACGCACCAAGCCCCACAGGGCGACGATGCTGAAGGGCCACGACCGGTAGGTATGGGTCCCAAAGCCATCCACACCACCAAGCACCAGGTAATTGTCGCGGCGCCGCTGCCATGCGGCGGTAGCCACGACGCCGACGAGGAAGCCGACCAGCAGCAGCGGCAAATACACAAGTAGCAGGAGCCACACCCCGGGGAGCAGGAAATTCAGCAGGGTCACCAGTATCAGGGGGCCGGTCAGCAGAGGCATGTATGGCTGAATGCGAGCCAGCGGTGGGGTGATATGCTGGCGCGCGATGGCAAGGGCCTCCTGAGCCGGGGCCGGCAGGCGCCCATGCACGCTGGCCAGCTGCCGCGCCAGGTGGTCCGCCAGGACTGCGAGCCGGGAGGAGGTAGTGGCCGGAGCGCCAGCCCGCGCGGCCGGAGCCACAGCCGGGCCACAGCCCAGGCCATCGGTCGACGGATTGGAGTGCGGGGACTCGACGTCAACGGACATGGTGGATGGGAAGGGGAGGGAGGGCAAAGACGGCCGGGCGGGGAGGGGGGG